CGTTTTCTGTCCAAAGGGTCAGAGCTACTATCCATGTCCCAGTGGTCTGGTTGGGGCCTGGTCCTGAGAAGCCAGTAAGGGAATATTTCCTTCTCTCCCCTGAGGCTCAGGAAGAGGTGATCTAGAGAAGGTAAGCAACCTGGCCAGGTCCCTTAGGCCAGAGTTGGGGAGCAGCACCATGGAGGGGTGACCAAGGGATAGTCTGACAGAGTCCACTTGACTGTCACAGACCCAGTGGCTCTCAGGGTTGGACTGACTGACTGAGTGATGGCCTCAGAGAGGATTTGGGCCTGGTATTGTGCCTCAGGATCTTATCTGTCCCCAAACCTATCTTCAGGTTCACGCTCTCTAGGGGATACATTAAAGCTGCTTGAGGCCCAGGAGATGAGGTGACCAGAGACCAGAAGAGGGAGGGATGAGGGGCTGTAGGGAAAGAGAGGTTCAACTCCCAGGGACAGTAGGAGAAAGCCCAATATACTCCCAGACTAGGCAAGTAGAAGTTGGTGTTGGGAGCACCAGCCAGGTGGGAGGCTGGTATTGGCCGTTTTCAGCAGCCATCTAAGTGGTCCTTACTGTGGGCACTGCCAAAGAACTGGCCCTTTGGCTAGTACCAGAACCAGAGGGGTTAGGACTTCCTTCAGCTGCCAAGCCAGATCTTGGGAGGAATTCTGTTTGCCTAATGATTCAGAGAAACAAACAAGCACAGGAATGCTCCGAATCAGGGCAGCCCCACCACAAAATCAAATTGACGCTATTCCTTTTACCTCTGATGTTGGGGTGCAGTTCCTGGCCCCAGGCAGGCTAGGCCAGCTCTCAGTTCCTTCCGGGCAGGGTGAAACAACATTCCCATGGTCATTGCTTCACCCTATCTCTCCCTTGGGCCCCCCCAAATAAACCTGGAGAAATTTAAGATGCTTTTCTCCCTTATCAAGGAAGTTCGTGGCTTGCTAAAGACCCACTGGGCAGCCTGCCCCTTCTGTCAACACCTGAGGTAGTTCCTGAAAGTGGCGGGGCTGCTCAGCCACGCGATGGTTGTCCCCTTCCACAGCTGGTGCCACTTCCTTTCTGTCCCTTCTGAAGAATGGACTATCAGTCTTTTGCAGGAAGCCCCCACAAAGCCCAATCAAACAAGGAGATACAGTTCCCCCCTCAAATGCCAGTTTTGCAATCAAAACTGGACTTGTCAGTAGGATCAGCCCAGCCCCAGCCCCTCAGGGCACCCATGCATTATGTGACTATGGGATAGAACTGCATGGGAAGCCATCAGGATCATAAAATCGGTTGCGTTTTTATGCACCGTGATTGTGCATGTGTGTCCAAAATGACAGGCTAGGAAGTGCCGCTCTGCTTCGTGAATGAGGAAGCAGGAACACTTTTGAGGCCCTTGACTAGCCTCAAGTCTCTAGGAAGTGGGGGGTGCCCCCCTCCTCGGGGAGGACAGAAGGGGACTGCCACTGAGCCCTTTCCCAGAGACCAGGAGCAAGGGTGGAGAATCCTGTGCCGACTGAGACTCAGTTCACCATTGGGCTGGTAGTTCACTGGGAAGCAGCTCCTACAGATGAAGATCTGAGGCATGGAGAGGATGATGGGCTAGTCCAGGGCCACATAATACAGGATGCCATCTTCTGCCCAGGAAGTAAACCCTACGGCAAAGTGCACCCCGGGATTCCCAGGAAGAGTCCTTAACCACTCACCTTTGGGAAGGAGTAAGAAGACTGGGGGATCTCAGGTCTGCACGTTGCTTCAGGGGACATGGACTTCTCTGGGTAGAGCCAGGATGATCTGAGGGCCTCAGGACTATGCCTAGAAGCTGGAAGGGAAAAGTGTGGGCAGTGGGGGAATGCCAGCCCTGGAGCTTCAGACGCTGAGATCTGAGGCCCTACCCAGCTCATACGGACCAGTGACAGGCTGGGCCGAGAGTCAGGCTGTGGCTGGGCTGGGGGAGGCAGGGGGCCAGTAGAATGGGTATGATACCTTAATGTTTAGTGGGTGGCTTTGCCTAAGGCAAGGAAACTCCTAGCAGTTTCTGCTCCAGGTAGGAAGGGAGCTGTAGTGAGCACACTGCCCATGGGGAACTCAAAGCATCCTCCAAGGCGGGGCTAGACTTGCAGGTGAGGGGTCTTTGTATAAGGGTCATGGAGTCTCGACCTTCAGTTCCCTAGGCTGTCCAAACTGGCTATTTCTTGCCTTACTGTGAGGCTGATCCCAAAGTGTTCCAGCTGCATGGGACTTAATCTCCACTGAGTCACCAGGCTAGCCTGCCAGAATCAAGGGGATATCAGATGCTGGCTTCCTGTTCCACACTGGGGGGCCAGAGGTGGGGCTAGTCAGACAACAGCGTGACAGTGATGCTCTGGAGTACGGCCATAGCCTCTGTCCTGTTCTGGTCCCTAACATTTCCCTGACTCCATGGCAACAGCTGGGGTATAATCCCGGCCCTTCCTTGATGCACTGCAGTGAGCCATTCACTTATCAGTTCCTGAAGGGAGGGCTCTAGTCCAGCCCAGGCCCAGCCCTAGAGCTGAGTGGCCTCAGGGGCCAAGCAAAGGAAGGCTTCTGGACTACTACCCTAGTCCCATGGCCCCTTTGCCTCCATGTGCACAGGGTCCTTACTGTATGTCCTTTAGGACAGTGGGGCTCCAGCAGCTGAGCACAGTCTCCACCTGTGATGCATCCTGCAAGTCAGGTCTTGTCACCCTGGCTTCTAGGTCGAGCCATTGCTCCCATACCTGTCCTGGATCAGAAGCTGAGCAGGCTCTATCCCAGGGTGGAAGAAGAGACCAGCTAGACTGACTGGAGCCCGTAGGTGTCAGAGTGAGCTGAAGGTGGAGGCCAGAAGCCACTGGAGCCCTACAGGGTGGATTTGTGAATCCTTGGTGATGAGATGGTCAAGCCTCAGGAGGACTATTGGGCTGATGTCCAGTGGTTGAAGTGCCCAGAACTGGGTACTAAAGGAAGTTCAGCATCCACATGGTCATGACAGGACTAGGCAGTCACATGGGCCTGGTCCCCAGAGCAAGCCTTGGAATCCTGTGTGCCATGGCCTATTGATGGTCTGGTCTGTGAGGTGGTCAAGGGATCAGCTTACTGTGAATGAACCCAGCCTCAGACGCAAGGTGTGATATCCACCAAAGTGAGGCTGATAACTCAGAGGGCTGAGGGGTCAAGATGTGATCTGGGCCTGTTTCCTTGTGCTAGGGCTGTAGACCCTGTTGACCAGGGAGCCTCCTGCCTTGCTAAGGGTGTGAGGAAGGCATAGCCATGGTTGTGTACTCCCCCGAGTCTGGGACTGGCTACCACCTGCAGCTCCTTATGGCCTCCTCAGTGGAACTGATTCCAAATCACACAACCTACACACCCGGCCATGGCTAGCCTCATCCACTTAGCCTGCCCCACAGCAAGGCTACTCCTCATTGAGCCTTCTCCAGGCTCAGTGTTCAGTGCTAAGGCCAGTCCCAGCTCTGCAACAGTTAGTGTTTGGGGCAGGGGGGTGTCATGTATCTAAGTCCCAGCCTGCCTAACTCATATATCCCTCCTGTTACCACCCACACCTTTTCATGTGTGTCCACTCATTCATTTATTCTTCAACTCACCCATCCATGCATTCACTCATCTAGTCATCCATTCTTCACTTATTCGTTTATTCATTATGTCTATTCATTCATTCATTCATCCATACTTACTCATTGATTGATTGAGTTACCCATCCATTCATTCACTCAATTGTCCACTCACTTTTTCATTCATTCATTCATTCATTCATTCATTCATTCATTCATTCATTCATCTACTTTTGCTCATTGATTCATTCATTCATTTATTCACATGCATCTACTCATTCACTCACTCATTTACTCGTTCACTGACTTATTTGCTCATTGATTCACTCACTCATCCACAATTCCTCTGGGGCTCCACACTCCTGTGATACGTGAAGTGTTCTCTCTCTCTCTCTCTCTCTCTCTCTCTCTCTCTCTCTCTCTCTCTCTCTCTCTCTCACACACACACACACACACACACACACACCTGGACAAAGGCATGGCATCTGGACCAAAGGGCAGCACAGGCTTAGGACAAACCTCAAGGGAAGCCAGAAGCAACCAGAAAGTTCAAATGTGTGTCTTTCTTTGACCTTTGACCTCTCTCCAGCAGGGAGGGGGACAGTCTTTCTTCTTCTCCTGCCATTCCTCCCCAGTAGGGTCTTTCACTCTGTCTACTTTGTGGGCAACAGAGCTGCTGACATTAGCTGAGGGAGTATGGCTACCAGGGGTGTGTGTCCAGTTCAATTCCTGGCCCAACCTCATTCATCCTTGGTTTGGGCAAGTAAAGTGTTTTCTCATCTGAGCATCAGGACGATGAGTACAGACTCCTCTCGGCAGGGCCAGTAGCATCTCTCCAGGCCAGTGAGCGCTAAATGCCTTGGCTTCTGGCATCCAGTGGGTAGAACTGGGCCTCTGCTGCAACTGCCCACTCGGGTCTGGGAACCTGAAGTCTAACCCACGTTTTGGGGAGTGTGGAGCTGAGGATTGCCCTGGGGGTTAGTATTTCTGTTGCTTGCTTGGCTGTTGCTGCCCACAGAGCTCCTCTTCAAGGAAAGAGAGGATGACCGTCTAGGACAAGCCCCGGGGTAGTCTCAAGGGCAGCATTTGGTCAGCCTGGAAGATGTGTCTATTGAGGTACCAGAAACTCATGGGTAAGAAGGTGGCTTGGGAAAGTCTAGGTGGGGGCTTCTTGGGGAGGGCTGCACAAGTAAGTCCTGGGGAGCCTCAGGGAAACCAGGCACCACCTGCAGACACACCCACCTCTGACTGCTGCCATGGACCAGCCTAAAGTGACTGAGTGCCCACTGTTTACCTGGGTGAGGGGAATGATAGGCCTGCCCCACCCACTCATGTGAAGCCACTGGGGCTGGAGCCAGCTCTCAGACTACAAAAGGCAGCTGGTGACTTGAGTCCCTCCTCAGAGGCTGCCAGTGGGGACGTTTCCCCATGCTCCACAGCATGGGTGTCGGCCGGAGGAAGTTGGTCCCATTCTGGGTCCTAGCCCTGGCCCTGGCGTGTGGTCAACACACAGGTAAGATTCAAAGTGTCCAGCTTTCCCAGGCTGGTTGGGGAGACATTTTCATTCCCCCATGCTCTGGACTCAGGTGAGGAGTGAAGTTCAGAGTTTTCTCTATCTGGGTCCTGGCAAGCTAAAAGTGTCTGTGAGAGGGTCCTGCCATGCAGCCCAACCTGACAACTTCAAATGGTCTTAAGAGGCAGGGAGGTAATTCTGTGTGCAAGGGATTGAGGTTTGGCATCCAGTGTGTGGGGGAGCAGAAAGCTGTGTCTCAGAGCCCCCAAAACTGGTCATGGCAGGCTCTCAGCCCTCTCGTGTGCCCCATTATGCCAATTTTATCGCTCACAACCCTCACTGGACTGTCATAACCTCACAAGACACCATGGGCTGTAGGTGTTGTAGCACAGGAGGGTGTTCTGGGGATGTGGTTTCTCCTAGCCTGGCCTAATAACAGATGCAGGCACCAGGAAACTAGATTTAGGGTGAAGGCCAGTCACAACTTTGCTTGAACCCTCTTGTGTAGGTATGGGGGTGGGCCATTCACCCGCCATCATGGCGACTCTCTGAATCAGGCCATTAGTCAGTGATGTATTATGTCCCTCCCTCCATCTGCACACGGGTGGCCAGCACCTGTCCTGTTCTCAGTTCAGGCACATCTCTTCTTCTGTAGGCCAGGCCCGGCAAGATACTCTGAAATCCAACCATGAACATCACTCTGACTTCTCTCTCCTTCAAGGGCATGATGGTGAGTCCCAGCCTTTTGTCCCCATATGCCTGCCATATATGCCCCCCAACTCTACCTTCATGTGACTTTGGGTCCCCCAGGACTTCTTGCCTTAATGGCTCCTCAGCTAGCACACTGAGTGAGAACTTGGAGCTGAAGTATACCCTGGTATACATGCCTGTGGTCAGCTACCTCCTGTTCCTGACTGATCCAGTCCCGTGGAGACGCCACAGGCATCCATGCTCAGGCTCTCAGGGAGATGCAGAGAGTCTGTCAAGCTGCCTGGGTGGGCTATGTCCCCTGCGGCACGGGCTCATGTTTCCCCTATGTAGAGCCTACCTCCCTCTCTCTTGGTTTGATTTACCTATATCAGCATCACATTCACCGTCTGAGACTTGACCTAGGAGCTGGGGGATCGGCCATACGTGCCCAAGTGAGGGGTCTTGTGGGGCACTGGCCAGCACTTTGCAGTTTGCATTTCCCCAAACTGGTTAAAAAGGAGGCTGAGCTGCTGATCTAGATTCAGACATTTGCCAGGATCAAGTAACAACCCTCCTGAGTGCAAACAGAAGCTTCTGGGCTCTGTGGCCACTAAAGGCTGATGGCTCCAGGGGTCTCCAGGGGACAGTGAGAAAAGAGAATGCTGTATGTAGGCTTCAGGCTGGGCCATGCCCTACCTGGACCTCAATAGACAGTAGGACCCAAGCTGGACTGGAGACCTAGGAGTCTGCTTCTGTTGGCCCTGGGCCCTCTCCTCTGGGCCACAGTGACTCCACAACCTCCCTCAAGGCTGTGTGCATCCCATGATCCAAGCCTCTGTCTCTACAGCTGCTCCATTCCATGGGGTGACCATCATCTCACCTCAGAGGACCATCCCTGTGGTACGAGGTGAGTGAACCCCAAAGCCTCTCTGGGAAAGTGGCCCTGCTTAGCTGGGGTACTCACCCTTGGACCTAAAGAGCTAGTCTAGAAAGGGGTCCCTGATTCTTGGCTGACAATAGCATAGGAAAGGTTGGGGGGCATTTAAAGCTGCTGTGAGCTGATCCCAGGACTTCCTAAATCAGATGGGACCTTAGATGCTCACTGTAGGCAGCAGCCTGTCTGATTCCCAGTGGCACATGGAAAACAGATACCCAGTGTGAAAGGCAGAACATGGAGGGCCTATCAGGGACCAGAATAGTGCCCCCAAAGCCTGCCATTGCTTTGGTCCACAGCTCTCAACCCAGCACACACCGGGCGGGTGTGCAGCACCTGGGGCAACTTCCACTACAAGACCTTTGATGGCCAGGTCTTCCGCTTCCCTGGCCTCTGCAACTATGTGTTCTCTGCACACTGTGGGGCTGCCTATGAGGACTTCAACATCCAGCTTCGTCGTGGCCGGGAGTCTAATGCCACCACTCTGAGCAGGGTCACTATGAAGCTTGACGGCCTAGTTGTTGATCTGACCAAGAGCTCCATATTAGTCAATAACCACCCGTGAGTCTGGAGCAGTATTGGGTGGGTGATGGAGGTGCTGTGTGGTGAGGGGAAATTAGAATGTCAGGGCTGTGGGAGACACTGGGGTTGTTAGCAAGACTCCACTCTCAGGAGAGAACCTGAACAGGCACTCCCTCACCCCATGCTCGAATGGCCCCTTCAGCGTCTCCTTAATACTGACATTCCAGGTCCCATGTCTCTGTCACACACATGGCTGCAGGGGTCTTCTCACCTGGGGTCTCTCTTGTCTCCCCCACCTGCCCCGCCCCGTACTTTATCCCTGCTCTCTTCTACAGGGTTCAGCTGCCCTTCAGCCAGTCTGGGGTCCTTATTGAGCTCAGCAGTGGCTACCTGAAGGTGGTGGCCCGGCTGGGCCTCGTCTTCATGTGGAACGATGATGACAGTCTCCTGGTGAGAGGGAGTAGAGTCTCTTGGTGGTGCGGAATGGGTGTGGGTGGGCAGAGCCTTCTGGTAAAATGGGAGCAATGGGTGGAATCTCCTAGTGAGACCAGGCGGTGGGTGAGGAGAGGGGGCATAGGCCGCATAGCTGGGGAAGGTGGGCATCCAGGCATCAACAGAGCCTCAGGGTCTTCACCCCCAGAGATAGGTCCTGTGTCTGTGGGGTGTTTGCTTCAGCCCTGCTCTGAGTCATGACTTCATCTGACTTAGGGGCAAAGTCTTTGGATTGTGTCTCCTCTGGGAGTCCTCACCCCCTTTTTCTGGAGTCTATACTTCACATCCTGGTTGTCTATAGTGGGGTCAGGTGTCTGATGTCTCCTCCAATTTCAGCTGGAGTTGGACACCAAGTATATCAACAAGACTTGTGGTCTCTGTGGAGACTTCAATGGCAGCCCAGAGTCCAGCGAGTTCCTCTCCCACAGTAAGTCCCAGGCGATGCCCCAGGGCCCCGGGAGGCGTAGTTTCTCAGTATCTAAAACCATGTATCTCTATGTGTATACAAACAAATGCTCTCTCTGTCTGTCTCTGTCTCTGTTGCACACACACACACACACACACACACACACATGCACACACACCCATGCCTGCAGCTCACATAGGCACATATACACACACAGGCTTCCCTCTCCACAATTTCAGCTCATGCATAAGTGCACACAGACATACCTGCACATACCGACACTCAGGTGCATGTACACTCTTGACACTCTGATACACCCCACAGGTGCAGGCGGGGAAACCTCTGGTTCTTGGTACCCCTATTCTGAGGAAGTACAAACCCTCACATGGAATCATCCCTGCTTTCTTTACCTTGGGAGGGTCACATTTCTTTACCTGCAAGCAATGACATCACAAATGTGGCTGCATCAGCCCTCCTCTGTCAGTCCCCCAAAGTCCCATATAAGCTGTGGGTAACAGACCCTGACTGTGCATATGGCTGCCCCTGTCAGGCCAGGCTGTGTGCAGAGTTGGCCAGAGTCTAAGGGCTGGTGGGATGTCAGGTTCACTCTACAGTCCTCTGGGCTGCGTCTGATGGCTATGCATCTGTTAAGGCCTCTACCCACTCTTCCTGTTGCCCTAGGAACTCCAAGATCTTTCTGGGCTCCTTTCATGGGTTCCAGATATCAGCATCCCAGGCAGTGAGGCTGGGCAAGCCAGGCGGGGATCACAGGACCACATGGACTTTCTCAGTGGGAAGCCCTTTGGACTTGGCTGTTGGGATGATGGGCTGGGGACCTGGGGCCTGTAGACAGAGCTGCTCTGGACTTCCTGCAGATGTTAGATTGACACCTCTTGAGTTTGGGAACCTCCAGAAGATGGATGGCCCCACAGAACAGTGCCAGGACCCCCTCCCTGTGCCCCAGAAGAACTGCTCCACCAGATTTGTGAGCCTTGAGAGGAATGGGCAGGCAGGGTGGGGAGGAGGGCTTTGGGTTCTGGGATAACCCAGGTGCTTCTGGGAAGCCAGGGGTCTGAACTCAGCATGGGTCTTGCCCTTGTCCAGGGCATCTGTGAGGAGATCCTGAAAGGTCATCTGTTCTCGGACTGCTCGGCCCTGGTGGACACCAGCAGCTACCTGGAGGCTTGCCGGCAGGACCTCTGTCTCTGTGAGAGCCCTGACCTGTCCAGCTGTGTCTGCCATACCCTGGCTGAGTACTCCCGGCAGTGTGCCCATGCTGGAGGACAGCCCCAGGACTGGCGGGGTCCCGACCTCTGCTGTGAGTGCCCTCAGCCCCCTTCCCCACCATCATAGCATCATCCAGCAGGTAAGTAGGACCTGGCCTGATACGATCTTTCTTTCTGGTCTCCCTGCAGCTCCAACATGCCCCCTCAACATGCAACACCAGGAATGTGGCTCACCCTGTGTGGACACTTGCTCCAACCTCCAGCGCTCCCAGGTCTGTGAGGACCACTGTGTTGCCGGCTGCTTCTGTCCTGAGGGTAAGATGGAGTCTCTTCCCCACCAATCCAAACACAGGACCTCCAAAGCACTCAGTTGCATGGGTGGTCGTGCTACCATTGTTCAGCCTTGGGGAAAGATCCCTCTGACCCTGGCCCGAAGCGTCTCTGTGTTGCTGAGATTTACTGAGGTTTCTAGATGACACTTACCACACGGATTTGCTTTCTTCAGGGACAGTGCTTGATGACATCAACCAGACTGGCTGTGTCCCTGTGTCCCAGTGTGCCTGCCTGTACAATGGGACAGCTTATGCACCGGGTACCAATTACTCTACTGACTGCACCAAATGGTAGGTCTTGGGCTTCCCACCCAAGAGCCTGACATATGCCGGGGTTACTTCCTCAGGATGTGTGGACTGGTGAGGTCTAAGGCTGTTGTGGCCAGTGCCCCATGGGCAGGAACCTTCAGTCTAGGTGGCAAAAATATCAGGACTGTTGTTTCTGGGGACCAGTACACAATATATCCTTCTTCCCACTCACAGCACATGCTCTGGAGGTCAGTGGAGTTGCCAGGAGGTCCCATGCCCTGGCACCTGCTCAGTGCTGGGGGGTTCCCACTTCTCCACATTTGATGAAAGGCAGTACACAGTGCATGGGGACTGCAGCTACGTGCTGAGCAAGGTGAGGCCTATGCTGTCCTGGGGCCTTTGATTTGGGGGGTGGGTGGGCCTCCCCAGGTATCACTAGCCTAGGCCTCCGTCACGACTGCACCAGGGAGACCTTGGAGACTTCGCGGTGAAACTGTGAGGAAATACTTCTGCCAAGCGGCCCAGGGCTCCATGGAGTCATTCAGCTGTTGACTGAACCTCTGGTGCTGAATGACCCCTGCTCACTGCTTTGGCCTTACTAACCTTGTCTTTTTAAAGAGACGTATTATTTTATTTATATATTTTCACTTATGTGTATGCATGTGTCTCTCTGTGTGTATCTGTGCACAGTGCCATGGAGGCCAGAAGAGGCATCAGGTTCCCTAGAGTTGGAGTTACGTACAGGTGGCTGGGAGCAACCTGATATGGGTGCTGGGCACTGAATTTGGGCCCTTTGCAAGAGCAGTACACACTTAATCATCGATCCATCTTTCCAGTCCCTGTCTTATTTTATTTTTAGATCAGTTTTATGTCCACCAATAAATTAACTAGAAAGTCCAGTGAGTTCCCAAGCCTCACCATGCCCAGCAGTCTCCCTGTACCGACAGTTTGCTTTAGTGTAACACATTGGTGATGACTGATAAGGAAAACCAGCCAGCCATTACCATCCACGGCAGCGTCCAACAGGGTCACTCAGAGCATACCCCAGGATTTGACTGGTGTGAAATGTCCTGTATGTACTCTGCATTACTAACTAGTGTCACTCAGCAGTTCACCATGCTGGCCACTCTAGACTCCACCTGAGCATCTCCCTCCCCACTTGGGAAACCACTGATCTTAAAAACAAAACAAAACTTTTACTTTTTGAAAATTTCATATGTGTATACAATGTATTTTGATCATTTACCTCCTCTCCCCCTCCCAACTCCCCTCAGTCTCCCCCTGCTACATCTCCCTCTCAACTTCGCTTTTAGAATTATTGCACTCAGTAGGTGTCTTAAGCCCCCTTGTTAGGGAATAGGGGAGCCTTCCTCCTAAAATCCAACGGTTGCCTCTTAGAGTCTTTGACAATGGTGGACCAGGAATTTCCCACAAGGGGAGGCAGCAGGGACTGGAGGAGAGGGAAGATGGGGCAGGCAGGGGTTTGGGCAGTGTGCAAGGACCGGTGTCTCTCCCTGCAGCCCTGTGACAGCAACATCTTCAGTGTGCTGGCTGAGCTTCGAAAGTGTGGACTGACGGACAGCGAGACTTGTCTGAAGAGTGTGACACTGAGCCTGGGTGCGGGGAAGACAGTGAGTATCACAGGGGAGCTGAGGAGAGCTCGGGCAGGGGGGTCTCTGGGAGGCCGTGGAAAGAGTATGTCCACATGGCCAGTCACCTGGATTCACACTCTGAACAGTGAGTGCATCCACTATTTGGGGCTCTTTCTGGGGACTCCCCAGAAGATTGCAGGCGTTTGGCTCTGGGGCTCTTGTGATTGTACCAGTTGGCCCCAGGAAAGAGGATTCAAGCATCTCTATCCAGTACAACTCAATTGACATTATTTTGTATACATTAATTTCTGTTTTTAATATTCCTTAGACTATGATCCTTTTGAAAGTTTAGAAAATCAGGGAAAGTATATGGACAGATCTTGGGACACAAGTTGACCACATGGGGACTACAGCTTTGTAGCCCAGGGTCTCCCAGACCTAGCAAGCGTACTTCACAGCCTGTGTGGGTTACCAGGGGACAGTTGAGGAGACACCGCCTCAGTGCCATACTGGCCCCAGTTGACTCTGGAATTGCTTCTAGGTGGTCATGGTGAAAGCCACTGGAGAGGTCTTTGTGAACCAGATTTATACCCAGTTGCCGGTGTCCACAGGTGAGAGCTGCTTGTGAATCTAAGCTGTGTATCTCCATCCCACGGGGCGTCCCCACCCTGAAACCCTCATCTTCTGCCCACAGCCAATGTTACCCTCTTCCGGCCTTCAACTTTTTTCATCATTGCCCAGACCAACCTGGGTCTGCAGCTTGAGATCCAGCTGGTGCCCATCATGCAAGTGTTTGTGCGGCTGGCACCTGAGCTCAGGGGTCTAACCTGCGGTAAGAGGCGCTGACTCTGGACCTCAGTCCATTCCATTCTAGAGCCCACATGGGGCTTCAACCTGGTATCCTGTCCCTAGGGCTCTGTGGGAATTTCAACAGTATCCAGGCCGATGACTTCCAGACCATCAGTGGGGTTGTGGAGGGCACAGCAGCTGCCTTCTTCAACACCTTCAAGACGCAGGCGGCTTGTCCTAACGTCAGGAATAACTTTGAGGACCCCTGCTCGCTCAGCGTGGAGAACGGTGAGTCTAGCTGTTGGTCTGTATTCTGTTGAATGCTTAGGGGTTGGTTTACTTGCTTCCATTTCTGAACTGGTTACTTTCCCAAGGAGCGTTTTCTCAGCAAACTCTGACCTGGTCTGGGGTCCTGCTGTCTGCCCTGAAGTGGTGAATAGGAAAACTAGTGTGTAGTGCATTGTGTCTATCACACACTGAAGACACCCCAGGGAGGGTACCAAAAGACACTGATGTCGTATTGAGGAATGAAAGAAGGAAGCTTCCTCTTGGAATAGTTTGACTGAAAGTGAGCCCAAATTGGAATCCTGCATTTCTCTGCTGGTGTTTTCCATCTGTCTGTAGTTTCTAGTCAGTGGCCTGTCTATTGTATTTGATCTGTCCTTGCTGCCTGTCTATAACAAAGGGTTTTGCCCCGTATTTATTGAACAGCATGGATAATACGGTGTGGGGAATGAGTGAGGAATTCTTTTCCATAGAAATTTTCAGCAGAGTTTTACGAAGGAAAAAGTTACTTTACTGATTCCAGCTGACCCAGGATAGCACTCAAAACTGCACACAGGCTTTGTCAATCTGTATCTGCATGTTGCTGCCAACATTTATGGGATATTTGTTTTTCTTAATGTCGCTTTTTACCTGTTGGCTGCTTTCAGCAAATGATGATCATAACACACTTTCATTATTCTGGGTCAGGGGCATGGAGAAGTACACAATTCAAGATTAAAACTATACATTTAGCTTAGGTTGTAAAGTTAATTACAGAGGAAATCCAAGGCATATTAAGGTTCTCTTAAAGTCAGGTTAAACTCGAACAGGCCAAGCACACAGTAGGACAGCAGATTGAGTACACTGTCTTAAATGGTCACAAGGCTTATTATTAACTTGGCTATAGCATCTGGCAAAAGTTCGGTCTTCTTGAAGGCAAGCAGTATTTTAGAAAAATAGATTGCTGAAGTTTATACCATGTAGTATTACTAGTGAAACAAGTGTGGGTACTCCAGGGAAGAGTGGTGACCAGCATCCATGCTTGCCACATGACAGGGAGGACATGAGGGATCTCCAGGGCAGAGTCACAGATGGTTAAGGACCTCATCTGCTGCACCGTGTACACAGGGTGTTGGATATTAGGGACCCTGCTTCAGGGTAAAAGAAAGGACCAGACTCTAATGTAGTTGTGACATTGTCCATCCCCCCAAGTAGGGTTGAGGAAGAGGGGTTCAGTATCAGCTGGTGCTGCCCCTTTTCCCTCTGTATTTTGGTCCAGAAGTCTTGACTGTTGTCCATGGTGATGGCCACCCACATTGCTGGGGGTTTAGGACTCTGGGGACATAGGAAAGAAGAGCAACAATGACTATAGCTTCCCCATGCCTCATGTATGCTGCAATGACATCCGTGGTGCAGTATGGCTAAGTGCCCATGGTATCTGTTTGCACAGAAATGCAAGTTGTCACAAACCCCAAGTGGGGGAAACTTAGAACTGGGTGAATAAGCAGCTGATGGGTTCTCTTCTATCCACAGAGAAGTATGCTCAGCACTGGTGTTCTCAGCTGACAGATGCCAGTGGCCCATTTTCCCAGTGCCACACCACCGTGAACCCCAGCACCTACTTCTCGGTAATGCCTGCCCTTTGGCTAGCTAGGACTTCAACACTGCATTGTGTGCCCCCTCTTGGGAGGATCAGAGGACACTGGAGGGAGGCAATTGACAAATAGCAGGGGAAGCAGGTGGCAGGAATATTCTTCCAGTCTGTATTTCTGGTTCCATTCCTTATATCCATATTCCTTCATTTATTCACTTACTGTTTGTTCATTGAGTTTAGATCATCAAGCCTCTGGTCTACAATAGAAACAGGGCTAAACATGAAGCTTTTGAGAAATATGAGTAATAGGACAGTAAGAAAGACACAGTGTTACAGGGCTGGATCTGGCGGGCCACAGAGATAAAGGGACAAGGTCTTTCCAGAATCCATGTCCTAGAGGAAAGGTTGGCTGCATGTGAGATGTCAACATTCAAATGAACTACAGTGGAATGGGGGATGGGGAAGTGTCCTGAGGAAGGCAAGGAAGGTGGGAATATGTTGGGATGGCAGGGGCACTCAGTTAGATGCCAGGCTCCCAGATGTGAGGCTGGGTCCCTGATGCTCTGATGTCCCCACCCCCAGAACTGCATGTTTGACACGTGCAACTGTGAGAAGAGTGAGGATTGCATGTGCGCGGCCCTGTCCTCCTACGTGCGTGCCTGTGCCGCCAAAGGCGTGCTGCTCAGTGGCTGGAGGGACGGCGTCTGCAGTGAGTGTTCTGTGGGCAGCTGGGCTCTCTTTCTCTACAGATCAGGGCCCCTCCTATTGCCTAGCAGCTGATTGGATCCTATCACCACACCAGTCTCTGAAACTAAGGGAGACCCATGCCATTATGACCAAGAGCCCTAATCAGGAGACAGTGTCTGGGGAGCTGCTAGGCCCTCTGTTGTTGATTGCTGGGCTGTGTGTCCACCAGTGTCCTCAGTGTCCCCCCTTCTTCTGCTCCCCTACAGCAAAGCCTACAACTACCTGCCCCAAGTCGATGACCTACCAATACCACATCAGCACCTGCCAGCCCACCTGTCGTTCTCTGAATGAGGAAGATGTCACCTGCCATGTCAGCTTCATCCCTGTAGATGGTTGCACCTGCCCTGCAGGCACCTTCTTGGATGATTCAGGCAAATGTGTTCAGGCCACCAGCTGTCCCTGCTACCACAGGGGATCCACGGTTCCCAATGGCGAGTCAATACACGACAGTGGGGCCATTTGGTAAGACCCTTAGGCCTGGCAGACTGTCTTCCCAGAGGACCCCTGGTCACCCTGCTCCCATGCACCTGTAGTTACGCAGACAAGGAGGACATGGCAGGGGTTCACGGGGCCCAGAGTGGATGATGTTCTAACAGTCCTCTATTCACAGCACCTGCACCCAAGGAACCTTGACCTGCATTGGAGGTCCTGCTCCGACTCCAGGTAAGCCTGTGAGGGAGTCTGTCAACTCTGGGAGAATACTTCCAAAGACATGTCAGGGTTGATGCCCATCCCAACTGAACAGAGCTGGAGTTAATGATCAGTTTCACTGTTTCTGGTATAGTCTGTGCCTTGGGCTTTGGAACAGGGGAGATAAGAGGGTGTGGACACTGTGCACACATAATCGTGAAAGCACTTGGTGTACTCTCAATACACACACAAAACATGCATACACACACACACACACACACACACACACACACACACACACACACACTCACATACATTCCAGCACGCATAACACAGATGTGCACCCTGCCTCCTGCCACAGGGCAGCCACATGCTTGGCTGTCTGGAAACAAAAGGCTGAGATGTTACAGCACTGGCCTCTCTCTGAGAAGGCTTGGCAGGGGTGGATGGCATCACCTCACTGGTCCCCTTCCTTCTCCAGTGTGTGACGCACCCATGATCTATTTTGACTGCCGCAATGCTACACCTGGGGACACTGGAGCTGGCTGTCAGAAGAGCTGTCACACCCTGGACATGACTTGTGTAAGTGACCTAGTCACTCCTGAAGAACCCTCCCTAGGACCTTCTTGGTGACCCCCTTACTTCCTTGACCTGTCCTGCTATGGTGTCTGTGGAGACCATCAGGCTTCTTCGTGGTAGCTCTTGGTACAGAGCAGCAGGGCTCTCCAAAGCTGAGGGCCTTCAGGGCAGCCTGGCTGGGCTGCGTGCGCAGAGCATCCCTGGTTACCTGCTGTTGGGCTTCCTGCTCCCATGGTACCTGCAGTCCTGCAGATAAAGAAGCCATGTCAGCCCAGACATCCATCTACATCCAGTCTCATTTACCTTGTCCATATCTCCTACAGTACAGCTCCGAATGTGTGCCTGGCTGTGTGTGCCCGCATGGGTTGGTGGCAGATGGTAATGGAGGCTGTGTTGCTGCTGAGGACTGTCCTTGTGTGCACAATGAGGCTACTTACAGGCCTGGGGAGACCATCCGAGTGGGCTGCAACAACTGGTATGTGAGGGCAGGGAGGTGGGTATCCAAGCTGTCACTAGGTACAGAGGTCCTTATTAGGAATGGACTAAGCTCCAGCATGGCCTCTGATGGACATACACACCACAGACTATCAAAGCATCTGGGCTCTGTGTTTCAGTTTCCTACAAGGGGTCCCCACAGAGCCTCTGGGAAGGTTCTCATTCCTGTGGGAGCCCTCAGCTGACCTCCACCTTCTTCTATGCAGCACCTGTGAGAACAGGATGTGGCAGTGTACCGACAAGCCCTGCCTGGCCACCTGTGCTGTGTATGGGGATGGTCACTACCTCACTTTCGATGGGCAGCGTTACAGCTTCAGTGGGAACTGCGAGTACACACTGCTCCAGGTATGCCTGGCTGACAGCCTCACCTGTGGCCATCCACAGCCCCAGGTACTCACATCCCTTCCCTGTCCCTTAACGGCCTTCTGTTCCTCTAGGACCACTGTGGTGGGAATGGCAGCTCCCAGGATGCCTTTCGTGTTGTCACCGAGAATATCCCCTGTGGCACCACAGGGACCACCTGCTCCAAGGACATCAAGATCTTCCTGGGGGTGAGTGGAATGGAGCTGGCAGAACACCCCGGGGCCTCCACAGTGGTGCCGGAGCACACAGGAGGGGGTGTGGTCCTGGCTAGGCCCTGAGGATGCTTTGTCGCACAGAACTATGAACTGAAGCTGAGTGACGGCAAGGTGGAGGTGGTCCAGAAGGGCGTGGGGCAGGAGCCCCCCTACTATGTCCACCAGATGGGCATCTACCTGGTGGTGGAAACTGACGTTGGCCTGGTGCTTCTGTGGGACAGGAAGACCAGCATCTTTCTCAGACTCAGCCCTGAGTTCAAGGTGAGACTGAGACAGGGAAGCATTGCTGTTACCCCTCTCAGGGGCTGGGGGCATGAACAGAGAGAGACAGAAACATACACACACACACACACACACACACACACACACACACACACACACACACAGAGAGAGAGAGAGAGAGAGAGAGAGAGAGAGAGAGAGAGAGAGAGAAACAGAGAGAGAGACAGAGAAGAAAGAGAGAGAGACAGACAGAGAGACAGACAGACACAGATAGAGAGACAGAGACAGAGAGACAGACAGAGACAGATAGAGAGACAGAGAGACAGAGATAGTCAGAGATGGACAGGAAGAGTGAGAGAGATCAAGACACACAGAGAGACAAAGAGAGACAGAGAAAGAGGGGCCAGGGAGATGGCTCAGTGGTAAAGGTGCTTGTTGACAAGCCTCATGACCTCAGACTTGAGGTTCAGTCCCCAGGACCCACATGGTAGCAGAGCTGACTACCACAAGTAGTCCCTGGACCTTCACAAGAGCTCGGTGGCACACGCATCCCTCATATACACATACGCAGTAAATCAATATAACAATTTTTTGAGAGGGGGAGGGGATGGATGGGGAGGACCTTTAGAAGAGCCGTGAGGAGGTCCCTTGTTGTGTGTGTCTTGCAGTTTTATAACAAATGACCACAAACTGGGTGGCCAGTTCTCCATTGTATCTGGACCCCGGGAGCCCAGATGATGTGTTAGGAGGGCTGCAGCCTCTCTGGAGGCTTAGGAGGGTCTTTCTGGCCTCTTTAGCCTCTGGGGCTCCAGGTATCCCCGGATTGTGGCTTCATCATCCTAGTCTCTATCTCTGTTGTCACCTGGTTGACTGTGTGTAGCTGTCTCTATTTTTCTCTTTAGTAAGGACACTAGACGGGAGACAGGACTCACTCTTGCCTTAGTGAGACCTCATCTCACTTGACTCTACCTTTAAAGATTCTATTTCTAAGAAGGCCCCATTCACAAGTTAGAAAAGGACAAGTTAGGGGCCACTGTCCAGCTCACTGCAGTGAGCTGCTATTTTGGACTGCTATTCAAGGCAGACTCTAAGCTGAATGTCACGGCGCTGTGCTCACCCTGCAAAGGGACTGAGAACTGGCCCTGGGGTTGGGGTGGAGGGAAGAGGGACAAAGCAGCCTTCTGGGAAGAACGGAGAATGAGGTTTCCTGGGCTGCCCAGCTGGGGAACTCACAGACCTCCCGGGATGTCATGGGCAGGGGTTGTGGCCTGGGGACAGACACAGATGGGCACAGGTGCCTTGCACCACCACTGGACACCAAAGGGCCTTCTAAACTCACACTTGCTGTTCTTCCTGGGCGCATCCTTTAGGAAGTTGCATGGTAATAGAGCAGAGCAGATATCAGGGTTCAGGAAGGGGGCTCAGGTCCGTATCTCTAATCTCTGTGCTTCTATAGGGCAGGGTCTGTGGCCTGTGTGGGAATTTCGACGACAATGCCATCAATGACTTCACCACGCGTAGCCAGTCTGTGGTGGGCGATGTGCTGGAGTTTGGAAATAGCTGGAAGTTCTCGCCATCCTGCCCAGATGCGGTGGTGTCCAAGGACCCCTGCACTGCCAACCCTTATCGCAAGTCCTGGGCCCAAAAGCAATGCAGCATCATCAACAGTGCGACCTTCACTGCCTGCCATGCCCATGTACGACAGTGGGACTGTGTGGTCTCTGAACTTTAGGATAGAGAAACCATCGGCCAACGGTGTGGGTGTCTCGGGGTTGGGAACCCACATGCATATGCCAGAATGGGCTATGGTTTGGAGGCTGTTAATTCTGAACATGGACTGAGAAAACTTCAGGCAGCTCCATGATCAGAGCCAGCCTATGGACACCATGATATACTGGCGGGTCGTTCATGGTCATACATTTGTCACTACGAACACTAGTAGAAACTAGCCCAAATTATTAGGCCAGTGTATGCACTAAGAGTGGAGGGGGACAGGAGTTCCCCCAGAGCCTGAAGCCTTGGTCTCTTTCAGGTGGAGCCCGCCAAGTACTATGAAGCCTGTGTGAGTGACGCATGTGCCTGTGACTCAGGGGGTGACTGCGAGTGTTTCTGCACTGCTGTGGCTGCCTATGCCCAGGCCTGCCATGAAGTGGGAGTGTGTGTGTCCTGGAGGACACCAGACATCTGCCGTGAGTGGGGCTTTGTCTGTGTTGCTGAAGGGTGGAACTGGGGATGGGTGGGTGATCGCCTCCCCTGTGCGCACGTGCGCACAGACACACAGACACAGACACACAGATGCGCGCACACACACCTCCAATGTGTGTGTCCATCTGCGTGTGTCCTGCACATGCATGTGCATAAATACTGTGGCCACTCAACAGGTGGCTGTAACAGGAGTAGCTCCAAGGGCTGGGGACTGCAGGGGCTGAGCTAGGATGTCTGCTGAGTACTCTGGGAGGGACTATGGTTCCAGGCAGGAGAGGCCAGCTCTGTATGTCCATCAGGAAGCACTGAAGGGCCGATAGTTTCCTAAGGAAAACAGAAATGAGGGTGAGCATCTGTAGGAGGAAGCCTGGCCTCAGAAAATGTTCTACACTGGAGGCATCAGTCTGCCTTCTTCGGCGCAGTCTATGTGAAGCCCCAGGGAGGACTGTGGCTGGGGGCAGCTGCTGTAGCTGGAGAGTCCCATTTGATGCTTGCCTCTCTGGCACCCCGATCAGCCCGAAACCCTTATCTGATACCCTGAAACCCTTATCTGAGCCACCTTCTCTCAGGGTGGGGTGGGAAGTGGGTTAGAAGACCCTCGATGCCAGCAAATCTCCCTGCTTTCCAGCGCTGTTCTGTGACTACTACAACCCAGAGGGTCAGTGTGAGTGGCACTACAAGCCGTGTGGGGCTCCCTGCATGCGCACCTGCCAGAACCCTAATGGACACTGCCTACATGATCTTCCCGGCCTTGAAGGTAGGTTGAAGGCTGAACTTGGAGGGGCAGGGTCTGTTGGGTTCCTAGGATCTTGACTGGGGTCTGTCCTGACATCCAAGCCCTGGGGTTTTCTTATGGGACCCTTGGTTGGGATGAATTCTTCCTGATCCCACTAGGAGCCTGTGTAGCTTCAACCTCAAACACGAGTGTGGATGAGGCTAGGCACTGGGGACTGACCAGGGCCCTGGTGTGAGAGGGCTCGGGGTGGTGGTGGGGGGGAGAGAGACTCTCTGTGACACAGGTCTCTTGGTTCACAGGCTGCTACCCCAAGTGCCCACCAACAGCCCCCATCTTTGATGAGGGCATGATGCAGTGTGTACGCAACTGTACAGCCACCCCTTCACCTCCACCACCTCGTCCCTGCCGCATCAATGGAAAGTTGTACCGACCAGGCGCGACAGTACCTTCAGACAAGAACTGCTATTCCTGGTAAGTCATTCAGCCAGAGTGATGTAGAACCTGGAACACCATGGTGAATCTAAACCAACCTTATACACAGCATCAGCCTGGGGTCTAGAAGCACCCTCAGCCCTAGGTGAGGAGGTGGAGCTGAGGGGAAAGAGTGACAGTTCCAGCCCTAGGGGGTCCCTTGCGTACACACCTGCCGGAACCCCAGTGGCCTGAACTTCAGCTGGGAGGGACAACACTCTTCTTAGGCTCCATTGAGAGGAAGGACAGCACCCTTGGCTTGTGGCTGAGCTGGGAGGGAGGGTGCCCTTGGCCTGGGGTTCAGATGAGGAGAGGACAAACCTCAGCCCGAGACTCAGCTGAGAGGAAGGATGCCTTTGGCCTAAGGCTCATGTGAAAGGGAGGACTTCCTTGACCTAAAATCCAGCTGTGTGTGAATGTGATGGTGTCCTCAGCCATCACATTCACACACAGGGACGAGGGGACGATGTCCATCAAAGTCCACCTGTCTCCATCGGTTATTGACGAGTGGGGGGGGGGGATGTTTGAGAGAGACCTTAGTGGAGCAGATCCTGAAAGGCTGAAGGTTAGGACCCGGTCGGGACCGCAGCGTCCAGCTTGGGCTGTAATGGAGCTGCTTCATCCCCAGCACTGAGCACACTGGGTGCAGGCCGTTCCCGTTCCCACGCACTCAGTCCCACTTCCCCCTTCTCTTGACAGCATTTGCACGGAGAACGGTGTGAGCTGTGCCCATGATGCTGGTGGTGAGCATCTGCAGCCTCCTCTGATCTGGAGGCAGGGTGGGGGAAGCCATTGTCTTAGCACCCCCCTGACTGGCTAAACGTCTATTTCCCACAGCCTGTGTCTGTACCTACAACGGGCAACACTTCCATCCTGGGGAAATCATCTACCACACGACAGATGGCACGGGAGGCTGTATCTCTGCACACTGCAGGGCCAACGGCACCATCGAAAGGACCATTGAGGCTTGCAGCCCCACCACCCCCACACCCCCGACCACTTTCTCCTTCTCCACACCAGTTGGTAAGGCAGACGTGACTGGTGGCAGAAAACGTTAGGCTTAGTTGGGGTGTCTCTCTTCCTGCTGACTGGTACTGCTTCTCTTGCAGAATGTTAGGTAATGGCTAGCTCTGGGTATTGGTGTCAGGCCCTGAGGCTCAAGAAGGGGCCCAGGAGTTGGGCATCTGGACCATGGGTACCCTGTTTTTATGTCACAGCAGGAAGGGATCAATCTCCCTGACCCACTCTGGAAGGCCTGGTGTCCATGGTACCACTTTCTGTAGCTACTGGACCCGATCCCAAGGGAGTGTGTGCCTTAGCTTACAGGCTCTAACACAAGTGGCCCCAGGCCAGTACTTAGATGAACATGAGATTTTCCCAGAATTCATAGCTGCCTGCTTGCCTTACATTGCATGGATCACTAGATATCCCTGAGGTCTCACACTGTTGGGGGTTTGTCAGAGTCCCCCCACCCCAAGCTAGTTTTGAGAGGTATAAGTATATAGATTCTGCTCAGGGCATGGCCTTTAGAGGAGATTAATTTGTCTGTTTGTGGGCCCAATATACTCTACTTCTGTCCACCAAGAGGTAGGTTCTGAGAAGACAGGCTAGGTGATGTGGCTCTGATGTTCAGTTTTCAAAGTTAGTATGACCATGGTGGTGAGACCCAAGGCAGCCGATGTGTGAGGAGGGAGGATGTGACCAGGGACCCTGCTTTTATCTCAGTACCAAGGCCTTAATGTCCACTCCTGTTACCTTTGTCCACAGTCATGACCTCAATGCCACCCTCCAGCACACATCCCAGCCCTACCCTGAGTGTAGTATACACAGGGTCCCCAAGCAGGGCTGTGTTGACAACCAGCAGCATGTCGTCAGTGAAGACACCTGCCACTGCCTCGACCTTGACTGCATCTACTATGGCCTCCACCTCAACCACACCAGGTTGCCAGGAGTGCCACTGGTCTCCCTGGATGGATGTCAGCCATCCTGGACGTGGCATTGACAGTGGTGACTTTGAGACTCTGGAGAACCTCCGTGCCCATGGCTACCAGATCTGCCAAGCACCAAGGGCAGTGGAATGCCGTGCTGAGGAAACCCCTGAGGTGCCACTTCATGTGCTGGGGCAGCAAGTGGAGTGCAGTACAACTGTAGGGTTGACCTGTCACAACAGGGATCAGGTGTCAAGGCTCTGTGACAACTACCAGATCAGAATTCAGTGCTGTACCCCCATCAGCTGTCCAACCTCCAGTGGTCCTACGCAGACCACCCATTTGATAACCTCCAGGACAGCTGCAAGGGGGACCACAACCTCCTTAACCCCTGTCACCTCAACTGACCACACAGATAGCACGGTTATCTCAGGCCGCTCTACCCATGCTCCAGGTCCTTTCCCCTCTTCCTCACATCCTTCTTCATCAGCTTCAAGTCCAACTACCCCTGGCCCAGTTAGTTCGACCGCCATTAAAGTAAATCTGTCCACTACTGGCCCAATGCCACAGCCAACTTCAGCCACATCATCTGTGTCCATCCCAAGCTCAGGGTCCACCACAGCCTCTTTTGAGACTACCCATGAATGCACACAGGAGCTTTGCAGTTGGACTGATTGGATAGATGGCAGCTACCCTGGGCCTGACAGAAACAGTGGAGATTTTGACACTTTCAAAAACCTGAGATCCAAAGGCTACAAGTTCTGTGAGAAGCCACGAAATGTGGAGTGTAGGGCTCAGTTCTTTCCCAACACTCCACTGGAGGAGCTGGGGCAGAATGTAATCTGTAACCGAGAGGAAGGGTTGATCTGTTTGAACAAAAACCAGCTGCCACCCATTTGTTATAACTATGAGATCCGGATAGAATGCTGTAAAATAGTAGACGTGTGCTCCACGGCTTCAGCTACCACACATCCGGCCTCACATGAAGTAAGCACAAAAACAAAGACCAACTGGACCACAAGCTTGCATTCCTCTTCCACCAAGGACATCAGTACTCACTCAGCAACCGAACACACAGAGACCTGGGCCACAGACAGTCCACACACAATCACCCAACCTGGGACCACCCACTGCCAGCCACAGTGCAGCTGGACCAAGTGGTTTGACACTGACTTCCCGGTGCCTGGTCCACATGGAGGGGACCTGGAAACCTACAGCAACATCCTGAGGAGGGGAGAGAGGATCTGTCACCGGCCAGAGGAGATCACACAGCTGGAATGCAGGGCTGAGAACCACCCTGAGATGAGGGTGGAGGATCTGGGTCAGGTGGTGCAGTGTGACCCCACTGTGGGCCTTGTGTGCAGGAACCGGGACCAGAAGGACGTCTCTGGGATGTGCCTCAACTATGAGGTGCGAGTGCTGTGCTGCCGCACTCCTGAAGGCTGCCCTGGGACCACACTTGCCACTCTTTCCAGCACCTCAGGTGAGACTGTCACCAGCTCAGCTCCTGTCACCACTTCTGAGCATGCAGAAATCAGCACATCCACTCCCCGGACCAGGACAACCATTGTCCAGACAAGCAGCACCACCTCCACACCCCAAACCAGCACAACCTCTGTGCAGACAGCCAGCACAGTGCCCACCAGGGACACCAGAACCACTTCTGTGCAGACAGCCAGCACCACATCCATGCCTAAACCCAGACCAACCTCTGGGCAGCCAGTCAGCACCACCTCCAAAACCCAAACAAGCTCACCATCTAGAGGAAAATTGAGCACCACCCTCAAAACCCAGACCAGATCAACCTCTATAGAAAAATCCAGTACCACATCTGGGCAGACAGACAGCATGATGTCCACAAGGAACACCAGAACCACCTCTGTGCAGACAGCCAGCACCACATCCATGCTTGAATCCAAACCAACCTCTGGGCATCCATCCAGCACTACCTCCATGCCCCAAACTAGAACAACACCTATAGGAAAATCCATCACCACCTCTGGACATCCAACCAGCACCATGTCCACCAGGGACACCAGAACCACCTCTGTCCAGACAGCCAGCACCACATCCATGCCTAAACCCAGACCAACCTCTGGGCAGCCAGTCAGCACCACCTCCAAACCCCAAACCAGAACAACACCTATAGGAAAATCCATCACTACCTCTGGACATCCAGCCAGCACCATGTCCACCAGGGACACCAGAACCACCTCTGGGCAGACAGCCAGCACCACATCCATGCCTAAACCCAGACCAACCTCTGGGCAGCCAGTCAGCACCACCTCCAAACCCCAAACCAGAACAACACCCATAGGAAAATCCAGCACCACCTCTGGGCAGACAGCCAGCACCACATCCATGCCTAAACCCAGACCAACCTCTGGGCAGCCAGTCAGCACCACCTCCAAACCCCAAAGCAGAACAACACCTATAGGAAAATCCAGCACCACATCTGGGCAGACAGCCAGCACCATGTTCACCAGGAGCATCAGCACCACATCTGAGCAGACAGCCAGCACAACATTCATAGGAAAAACCAGTGCCATCTCTGTTCCTGGAACCAGAGCCACCTCTGCTCCTACCAGCACCACAGGCCCTGGGTCTCCTTCTGTAGTGACTTCTTTCCCAGGGACCACCCACTGCCAGCCACAGTGCAGCTGGACCAAGTGGTTTGACACTGACTTCCCGGTGCCTGGTCCACATGGAGGGGACCTGGAAACCTACAGCAACATCCTGAGGAGGGGAGAGAGGATCTGTCACCGGCCAGAGGAGATCACACAGCTGGAATGCAGGGCTGAGAACCACCCTGAGATGAGGGTGGAGGATCTGGGTCAGGTGGTGCAGTGTGACCCCACTGTGGGCCTTGTGTGCAGGAACCGGGACCAGAAGGACGTCTCTGGGATGTGCCTCAACTATGAGGTGCGAGTGCTGTGCTGCCGCACTCCTGAAGGCTGCCCTGGGACCACACTTGCCACTCTTTCCAGTACCTCAGGTGAGACTGTCACCAGCTCGGCTCCTGTCACCACTTCTGAGCATGCAGAAATCAGCACATCTACTCCCCGGACCAGGACAACCATTGTCCAGACAAGCAGCACCACCTTCACACCCCAAACCAGCACAACCTCTGTGCAGACAGCCAGCACAGTGCCCACCAGGGGCACCAGAACCACTTCCGTGCAGACAGCCAGCACCACATCCATGCCTAAACCCAGACCAACCTCTGGGCAGCCAGTCAGCACCACCTCCAAAACCCAAACAAGCTCACCATCTAGAGGAAAATTGAGCACCACCCTCAAAACCCAGACCAGATCAACCTCTACAGAAAAATCCAGTACCACATCTGGGCAGACAGCCAGCATGATGTCCACAAGGGACACCAGAACCACCTCTGTGCAGACAGCCAGCACCACATCCATGCTTGAATCCAAACCAACCTCTGGGCATCCATCCAGCACTACCTCCATGCCCCAAACTAGAACAACACCTATAGGAAAATCCATCACTACCTCTGGACATCCAGCCAGCACCATGTCCACCAGGGACACCAGAACCACCTCTGTGCAGACAGCCAGCACCACATCCATGCCTAAACCCAGACCAACCTCTGGGCAGCCATCCATCACCACCTCCAATTCCCAAACCAGAACAACACCTATAGGAAAATCCAGCACCACCTCTGGGCAGACAGCCAGCACCACATCCATGCCTAAACCCAGACCAACCTCTGGGCAGCCAATCAGTACCACCTCCAAACCCCAAACCAGAACAACACCCATAGGAAAATCCAGCACCACCTCTGGGCAGACAGCCAGCACCACATCCATGCCTAAACCCAGACCAACCTCTGGGCAGCCAGTCAGCACCACCTCCAAACCCCAAAGCAGAACAACACCTATAGGAAAATCCAGCACCACATCTGGGCAGACAGCCAGCACCATGTTCACCAGGAGCATCAGCACCACATCTGAGCAGACAGCCAGCACAACATTCATAGGAAAAACCAGTGCCATCTCTGTTCCTGGAACCAGAGCCACCTCTGCTCCTACCAGCACCACAGGCCCTGGGTCTCCTTCTGTAGTGACTTCTTTCCCAGGGACCACCCACTGCCAGCCACAGTGCAGCTGGACCAAGTGGTTTGACACTGACTTCCCGGTGCCTGGTCCACATGGAGGGGACCTGGAAACCTACAGCAACATCCTGAGGAGGGGAGAGAGGATCTGTCACCGGCCAGAGGAGATCACACAGCTGGAATGCAGGGCTGAGAACCACCCTGAGATGAGGGTGGAGGATCTGGGTCAGGTGGTGCAGTGTGACCCCACTGTGGGCCTTGTGTGCAGGAACCGGGACCAGAAGGACGTCTCTGGGATGTGCCTCAACTATGAGGTGCGAGTGCTGTGTTGCCGCACTCCTGAAGGCTGCCCTGGGACCACACTTGCCACTCTTTCCAGTACCTCAGGTGAGACTGTCACCAGCTCGGCTCCTGTCACCACTTCTGTGCATGAAGAAATCAGCACATCCACTCCCCGGACCAGGACAACCATTGTCCAGACAAGCAGCACCACCTTCACACCCCAAACCAGCACAACCTCTGTGCAGACAGCCAGCACCATGTCCACCAGGGACACCAGAACCACCTCTGTGCAGACAGCCAGCACCACATCCATGCCTAAACCCAGACCAACCTCTGGGCAGCCAGTCAGCACCACCTCCAAACCCCAAACCAGAACAACACCTATAGGAAAATCCAGCACCACATCTGGGCAGACAGCCAGCACCATGTTCACCAGGAGCACCAGCACCACATCTGGGCAGACAGCCAGCACCACCTACATACCCCAAACAAGCTCACCCTCTAGAGGAAAATTGAGCACCACCCTCAAAACCCAGACCAGCTCAACCTCTACAGAAAAATCCAGTACCACATCTGGGCAGACAGCCAGCACCATGTCCACCAGGGACACCAGAACCACCTCTGTGCAGACAGCCAGCACCACATCCATGCCTAAACCCAGACCAACCTCTGGGCAGCCAGTCAGCACCACCTCCAAACCCCAAACCAGAACAACACCTATAGGAAAATCCAGCACCACATCTGGGCAGACAGCCAGCACCATGTTCACCAGGAGCACCAGCACCACATCTTGGCAGACAGCCAGCATGACATTCATAGGAAAAACCAGTACCATCTCTGTTCCTGGAACCAGAGCCACCTCTGCTCCTACCAGCACCACAGGCCCTGGGTCTCCTTCTGTTGTGACTTCTTTCCCAGGGACCACCCACTGCCAGCCAGAGTGCAGCTGGACCAAGTGGTTTGACACTGACTTCCCGGTGCCTGGTCCACATGGAGGGGACCTGGAAACCTACAGCAACATCCTGAGGAGGGGAGAGAGGATCTGTCACCGGCCAGAGGAGATCACACAGCTGGAATGCAGGGCTGAGAACCACCCTGAGATGAGGGTGGAGGATCTGGGTCAGGTGGTGCAGTGTGACCCCACTGTGGGCCTTGTGTGCAGGAACCGGGACCAGAAGGACGTCTCTGGGATGTGCCTCAACTATGAGGTGCGAGTGCTGTGCTGCCGCACTCCTGAAGGCTGCCCCGGGACCTCTGCGACTTCCCCTGTGACATCATCCCACAAGCCCTCATTTCCAGTTGTGTCACCCTCATCTGTGTCCCCATCCTCATCGTCCAGCCCTAGAGTCCACTCTGCCACCCCTTGTTTCTGCAGCGTGGCAGGCCATTTGTATCCTATCGGTAAGTGAGACATCTTTATGCAGTTTCCCGAGGTACTCCTTACCTTTATTGTCTTCCGTTAACGTCTTAAGGTTTGGCAGATGGTGCCACAATGGCCTTTAGACATTTCTAGTCTTTTCCTTCTTTCATTGACTGGGAAGTCTTGAGGTTGGCAACCCACTATCTGGGGAGCAGTCTTCTCCAGGGCCTCCCCAACCTCTACATACCTCTTGATCTTGCAGGATCCATCATCTACAACCAGACAGATCTTGATGGCCACTGTTACTATGCCATGTGTAGCCAGGACTGCCAGGTGGTTAGAAGTGTTAGTCAGGACTGCCCCTCCACCACGCCGTCCCCTACACCAGCTCTATTCACATCTACATCTACCAGCACACCTGTCATTCATCGGGATCGGTGCAATGTGGTCCCGCCAAGAATGGTAAGTCTATCTGTTATCCTTCCTGGAGACTGATGGCCACTATGGAGACCTTGGTGTATTTGCAATTATACCTCAACTTAAGTCCTCATGAAGAACACCAGCCCCCAGTTGACACAGGGCGAGCTTTGGGCTGGGTCTTTTTATGGTTTTGTATGTTTGGTTCATCAGTGTTGCATTGATAGTTGGGTAGTTGGGTGTTGAGGCTGGAGGTTAAAATTCCCCCTCAGTGAGGGGGAAGGTGGCAGAGGTGATGGTATACCCCTGAGAACTGAAGGGTGATCCCATGGCCCAGGACTCAGACCCACAGCCGGCTTTGTTTCTACAGAAAGGGGACATCTGGCACATGCCTAATTGCTCCCAAGCCACCTGTGAGGGCAACAATGTCGTCTCCCTGAGCCCACGCCAGTGCCCAGAAGTGAAAGCACCATCTTGTGCCAACGGCTACCCACCTCTGAAGGTGGATGACCAGGATGGTTGCTGCCAGCACTACCAGTGCCAGTGTGAGTGGGGATAGTGTTCAACAAAGGGAGGCATGACAGAGGAGGAGAGAATGAGGTGGACACCAGGAAAGATTTCCCATTATCAGGTCAGGGATGGGGATGTCAAGTGGAGATAACTGAGTCCCAGAGCCATAGAGCCCAGTGGGAGAAAAGGAGGGTCCTCTGTGTCTCAGAATCCCAGCAGCTTATGAAGGACCTGTCAGTCAAAGTCTAAAGGGACTATCCATATGTGTCACAAGGGTACAACAGCCTCAAGAGTTCCTGATTTGGAGGCAGTGTGGGGGGGGGGTTGGACCAGCTGGATGAAAGCCAGTTTATAAGGTAAGCTACCTCCCCCCCCCCCCCGCAGGTGTTTGCAGCGGCTGGGGTGATCCCCACTACATCACGTTTGATGGCACCTACTACACTTTTCTGGATAACTGCACATATGTGCTGGTGCAGCAGATCGTGCCTGTGTTTGGACACTTCCGTGTGCTCATTGACAACTACTTCTGTGACCCCGGAGACAGTGTTTCCTGCCCGCAGTCCATCATCGTGGAGTACCACCAGGACCGCGTGGTGCTGACCCGCAGGCCGGTTGATGGGATCATGACTAACCAGGTGGACATGCCCTCCTGGGTGTGTATGGAGGGGGTTGTGGCAGGCTTGGTCTAGGTTGAGGACCCTAACTCTAAACTTCCTTCTACTGTCTGTATCCAGATCATCTTCAACAACAAGGTAGTCAATCCTGGCTTCCAGCAGAATGGCATTATCGTCTCCCGTGTGGGTATCAAGATGTATGTGGCCATCCAGGAGATTGGTGTCCAGGTCATGTTCTCAGGCCTCATCTTCTCTGTTGAGGTGCCCTTCAACATGTTCTCCAACAACACAGAGGGCCAATGTGGTAAGCTCACTCTGGATATTGTTTGGGTATTAGGAGCAGCCTCTCCATGGACCTGGAGGGCTTTCTGAATGTGCACACATGTGGTTCACATCTACTTACTCCACGGTGACTTCCCTGTACACTGGGAACCAAGCTGGCTTCTGGGAGAGTCAGGCACACAGGAGAGGATATGAGACAAGGTGCCAATTCTGACCCTCAGCAAGAGAACACCAGGCACAGCTCTGCTGCCCCGCGGTCTGGCTGACCCTTGTCTCACCCGCAGGCACTTGTACCAATGACAAGAAGGATGAGTGCCGCCTGCCTGGAGGGGCACTAACCTCTTGTTCTAAGATGGCCCCCCACTGGAAGGTCCCCAACCAGCCTTCCTGCCAAGGGCCTCCTCCAACATCAACTTCAGTGGTACCCAGTCCTTCGCCGACTCCATGCCCACCATCACCAATCTGTGAGCTCCTCCTGAGCAAGTAAGATTCCAGAAAGTGGGGGTAACCTTGCTGGTTCCATCTGCCAAAAGCTACCCAGTCCTCAAAAGGCTCCTAGAAAAGTGAGGTCAGCCTTGTTCTAGGGTCTGGGCACTGTCTCTAGGGATCTTGTCAGATAGTCGTCGCTGCTGGAATGCTACTGCACACCTGGCAGTGGTAGGTTGGCTCATCTCTGGAGTGCTCTATCAGTTCCTCTCACTGATACAAGCTCAGTCACTGCCTGCACCTGGGCAGCATGCAGGGTTCCAGAATAAGGGAGGCTGAGGGGAGAGACATTTGCAGGAAGCGGTGCTCTGGCTGATACCTTTCCTGGCATGCACACAGAAGTGGGATGTCCCTTGGCTTAGAAGACAGACTCACAGGGGCTGAGTCATTCATTGTCCAGAACCTCACCTCCAAGGAGAGGTCACAGATCTGGAAGCCCCCTCTGTGAGTGGTAACCCGAGTATAACGGATGCACACACCACCTGTGCCTGTCTTTGCCCACCCACAGTCTCTTCCAGTCCTGCCATGACATCATCCCTCCACTGGCGTTCTACGAAGGCTGCTTATTCGACTCCTGCCATGGGTTGACCTTGGAGGTGGTGTGCTCAGCCCTAGAGCTCTACGCATCACTCTGTGCAGCCCAAGGCCGGTGCATCCCCTGGAGAAGCCAGACCAACAATACCTGTTGTGAGTGCCCAGCCAGGCCGCCTTCCTGTCCTCTGTTGTGAGAATTTAGATAGCCTGGGAGAGGAGGAGGACATGAAGCCTCATAGCCAGTCTTCCCTGAAGGGAAAAGCCCCAGACTTTGGGTTTGTTTTCAGGAAAGGGGGATTATCCAAATGGAAGTATCTGTGGATTTAGGGCCTGGGGTGCCAGCTGTCTTGGACAAGCTATAGAGCGAAGGACCTGGGGGAGTGGGGCAGGTTGTAGAAAGCTATTGAAGGCTTCTGAGTGGGTGTCAGCACTCAGCAGTGGCTGGAGCTTGGAGGATTCCAGAAGTGGGGTCTTGAAATGGCTTCTCAGGGGTGGCTCTCTCTCCATGCAGCATTCACCTGCCCTGATAACAAAGTATACCAGCCATGTGGCCCAACCAACCCTCAATACTGCTATAGGAATGATGACACCAGCACCAGCTTGTAAGTGCCAGCCCTCTGTTCACAGGGCTGATAAACCCTGGGGATCTACTTCTGGCACTTGGCTTTCCTAGGCTGGGTTCTTTCTTACTTGGGGGTGAAGGACCCACCAATTCTCTGTTTCTTGCAGGACCCTTCAAGAAGCTGGCCCCTTCACAGAGGGCTGCTTCTGCCCAGATAACATGACACCTTTCAGTACTAATGATTCAATCTGCATGCCTTCCTGCCAATGTATGTCCCCACGGCATGTAATGGGGGGGTTGGAGGGTCAGGATGTGGCTTGACCCCAGATCCCACTATGGTGCCCAACATGGGTCCTGTTCCTGCCCCATCCCTTTGGCCGCCCAAAATGACAGAACCTCTCTCTACAGGGTGCCTGGGGCCTCATGGAGAACCTGTGGAGGTAGGGACAAATGGTGGTGGTTCTTGGGGGGCCAGAGCCTGAGGCGGGAGGTTCTGGAAACAAAGGCCGTCAGGGCTGTCGTGGGCCTTTCTTAGTGTGCCAAAGGCCAGATGAAGGCAGGGAGAGTGCCAGTGTCCCAACAGGATCCAGAAAGGCCTTCTTCTCTGCCCTGCCTGTGTTTTGGAGCTGCTGGGTGTCTCATGAGGACTGTTCAGTCCTGTTCTTCCCTGGGACTCCTTCTTTCCTGAAGAAGGATGATGAGGTGTGATGAGGTGGAGGGGAAGGGCTGTTCATCAAACAAAGCCCTTCTCTCCCCTCTGCTCCTGGCCTCTGTGCCTGGACTTCAGTGCCTCAGGCCTTGCACTCCTAAAGCCCTCTCCCCCAGACTTGCGGCACAGACCCTCAGCACATGTGAGACCTGAATATGAGGCTTGGCTGCAGCTGCCCTTGGCCTGAGCAGCTCACTCACAGGCCAGGTCCGTGTCGTTCTCCCGTAGCCGGGCCACACCCTCAGCATCGGCTGCGAGGACTGCACCTGCAGGAAGGCCACACTGACCTGCCAAAGGAAGCCCTGTCCCCAGACCACCTGTCCAGAGCCTGGCTTTGTGCCGGTGCCTGAAGCCCTGGAGGCTGGCCAGTGTTGTCCCCAGTTCAGCTGTGGTGAGCCTTTGCTACTGTCCCCATACCCGTAGGTAGGACTATCTCCTGAGGAGCCATAGGTACACTGGGTCAACAGCCAGCTCTGCGGACATGGTCCCAGGAGGAAGGGAGTAGAAACCATCCCTTCCCAGGCTTTGTACATTGCTTGAGTACAGGGAGCCTGTTGGGTCCTGATCTGGTAATGTCCTAGCAGGTGCTCTTTAGGTGTGTGTGGTGGATACTCCTCTGTCCAGCCTGACCAGAACCTGCTCCTGGGGTCCTGGGAACTGTCATGATATCCTGTGGTGGGGTAGGCCCTTGGAACAGAAAAGAAGCAGGTACAGGGCAAGCCCAGCCCCTGACAGCTTTCTCTATCACAGTCTGCAACTCCAGCCACTGCCCTCCTCCTCTGCACTGCCCGGAGAATTCTAGCCTGATGGTCACATACGAGGAGGGAACTTGCTGCCCAAGCCAAACCTGCAGCAGTGAGTGTCCCCGACCCTTGCACCAAGTCACACTGGGGCCTGTAATTTCCCAGGGGACCAGCCAGATGAAGCCACTGATGGTTGGAGATGGGTTGTTGTTGCTTGGCGTGGAGTCCTTGGTGGGAAGGAAGCCCAAGGTGCTCCAGTAACTAGCAGCAGAACGTGTTGATGTAGGAGTCAGGCTGGGCCCTTGCAAGGCCCAGGCTACAGCCAGTGTGTCTCTTGGACAGGTCGGAAGGGCTGTGAAGTCAACGGGACTCTCTATCAGGTAGGAACCACTGGTGCTCAGGTCTGACAGCCCACAGCGGTTGAGCTTCCCATTTGGGGTGCTCCATGAGCCCCGTGGGGCTCAGGTGGTGATCTGAGAAGCTGAGGAGTTCTTAAGCCACTGTAGACCCTGGCACAGAGCTCCTGCATAGACCAACGACACAAACCTCTGTGGATGTAGCTCAGAGTGGTGCAGTTGAGGTTGGCCCCAGTATCCTTGAAGCTGCCAGTACCTGGTATCCGGGCCCATCAGGATTCTAGCAGCTCTTGGTCCCCTGAAATCACACTGGGTATGCCAGCACCTCACTTCCCCCAGCTCTACTTCCCCCACACCAATTCTCCAAGTATGTAGTATCTTGGGTCCCCTGACATAGAGACACAGTTACAAGCTCCGCCCTCGGACAGCACCTGAGTTATGATCTCTTCACCATGAGGTAACGTTAAGGGTCATTTCCTAGAGAATGGGTCAGCTTGGTGGGCAGCTGGGGCAACTGGCCAGTCAGAGTATAGGGCAGGTCTCTTCCCAGCTTGAGCCCACTAATGCCCAGCCCTGACTCTTTCCAGCCTGGTGCTGTGATCTCCTCCAGCCTTTGTGAAACATGCTTGTGTGAGGCGCCCAGCAATTTCCATTCAGATGTCTTTGTGGTCAACTGTGAGACTAAGCTCTGCAGCAACATCCAATGTCCTCAGGTGAGTCCTGGCCCCAGCCCTGCTCTCGTCACCCTGTGCCAATGGCCTGAACTAAAGCAGCATACCACTCTTCCCGCAGGGCTTTGAGTACCACGTCAAGCCAGGGCAGTGCTGTGGCCAGTGTATACAGAAGGGCTGCCTCGTTAAAAACAGCAACAGCTCCACCTACTTCTACCTCGTGAGTACCTGGGACTGTGCTAAGTGACCTCAGAAAGGGGAATAAATGGTAAGAACAGCAGACCACAGGCTCTGCAAAGGTCCCACACAGGCTGGGACAAAGCCACCACACGCTCCAAGGAACTACTAAAAGTCCCAGGCCCAGGTACAGAGAGCATGAAACAGACAGCATTTGAACCGAGCCACTGCCCTCCTTCTCTGCACTGGCCGGTATGTCTCTTGGACAGGTTGGAAGGGCTGGGGCACTGGACCCTGAGTGGCCTAAATCCTGGAGGCTCAGAGACGATCAGGCAGGGTCTTGGGGTCTCCAGGCTGAATAGACAGGGTCCTGAGCCTTGGGGGCACTTGGGAAGCTGTCTCTGGCAGACATAGGCCTGGCCTATGCCAGTGTCTCCCTAGAAGACAATAGGCTGGGGGCAGTCAGAGGATGAGCACTCACTGTGCAGGCTGGGCCTCTTTTCAGCCTGGTGAGTCCTGGCCCGAACCTGAAGACCCCTGTGTGACTCATAAGTGTGAGAAGCTCCAAGATGTATTCACTATTGTGACGATGAAGAAGGAGTGCCCCAAGATCAACTGTCCACCAGTAAGTTTGGGCTTTCCCACTCCAGCCAAGGAGGCAGCTCACCTGGAGATGAGGGGGAGGCCAGCATGGCCATCAGGCTTGTCCCCTCCGTGGAGGGTCATCCCCACTACTCTTTACATCTGGCCCCATGAGCCATTCCTCCATTTCCGGACGCCTCGTTGCCCCTGGCATTCACAATGGTCCATTGTTGGCACAGGGCCACGCTCAGCTGAGAGAAGACGGTTGCTGCTATGACTGTCTCCTACCCCAGCAGAGTAAGTCGGGGAGGGGGGGTCTGACAAGGAAGGGGTTGATCCCAGCCTGGAGCACCCAGGAAATGACTGAGCAGACACTGACCCTCTGCCTCACTTCCTGTCCTCCCAGAATGCACGGTACACCAAAGACAGCAGATCATCCGTCAGCAAAACTGCAGCTCTGAGGGGCCAGTGAGCCTCTCCTACTGCCAGGGCAACTGCGGGGACAGCACCTCCATGTACGAACCCCGAGCCCCGGGGAGCCTCAGGGGACAGTGTTCAGAGATGCAATTGGCGGTGGGGGTGGGGTGGGGGGTGGGGTGCACTCAGGTCCAGAAGCCTGGCAGAGAGGGCCAGAACCAGGAGGGGGAGAAAGAGGCAGCAGTGACCTGCTGTGCTTCTGGATGCAGACTCAGGACGCCTGGTGGCCAAGGGCAGCTGTGGCTGAAACGTTTGCCCCAGGGCCATTGGCAAGTGAGAAGAGGGGTAGGGTTTTGTACCCAGGGTGACAAAGACCTCGGGAGCTTGGCGCTGTGCCCACTGGACACGGAGCCTGTGGCAGGTGCAGGCAGCTCCCGGCAGGGCCGGGCGCTGAGCAGATCTACCCGCAGGTACTCCCTGGAGGCCAACACAGTGGAGCACAAGTGTGAGTGCTGCCAGGAACTGCAAACCTCGCAGAGGAGTGTGACGCTGCGCTGCGACGATGGCTCCAGCCGCACCTTCAGCTACACCCAGGTTGAGAAGTGTGGCTGCCTGGGCCAGCGGTGCCATGCTCTCGGTGACACAAGCCACCCAGAGTCCGCAGAATCAGAGTTCAAGTCCAAGGGAAGTAAGGAACACGGCCAGCAGTCGGCATTCAGGGCCAGCGAGGAGGTGCTTGGGCCTTCCCAGTAAACTGAGCAGCACTGCTGTCCCAACACACCACCCAAAAGTCCTCCTGAGGCCAGCAGGACATGTGCTGCTTGTTCAAGTGGCTTGAATTCCAGACCTTCTACCTACTCACCACTTTCTCTTCAAGAGGGACATCAACCTCAGCTGTCCTTGGAGGTGGGAGAGGTCCCATCCACAGATTAGGAGCATGAGGACCACTGGACTCCTTTGGAAAGAACTTCAGTATCATCAAAGGATCCCATGAATGAGTCACCTGAATGCAGTATCATCTGCTTGGCTTCACTCCCACCTCAGCCCTGCACCTGTGCCCCCTTTCAGAAAATGGCCAATTTGTTTTATAAATACACTCAGAGCATTTGTGGATTCTCTCTCTCTCTCTCTCTCTCTCTCTCTCTCTCTCTGTGTGTGTGTGTGTGTGTGTGTGTGTGTGTGTGTGTGTGCTATTTTTATATTTTTGGTTGTGAGCCTAGTCTTTAACGGCTGAGCTATCCCTCCAGCCCATATTTTTAAAACATGTCCATAGATATAGGAACTGAACAAAGACAGGCCTGGACTTCAGGGGGCTTATACTTCAGGCTGTTCACTAGGGGCTTGGCAGCCCGGTGAGGGCCACTGGGGAGTTCTCTGCCTCTATTTGCTGGGAGGATATGTCCTAAAGGTGACAATTAGTACACAGAGGCTAACTAGGGCCTGGGTGATGCTCAGAGTCAGAAGCATCCTGGGAGAGGATGATGAGGAAGAGAATGAATGAGTGAGTGAATTAGTGAATGAGTGAGTGAATTAGTGAATGACTGAGTGAGTGGGAGAATGAATGAGTAAATAAGGAAGTGAGTGATTGAGTAAATGAATTAGTGAGTGAATGTGTGAATGGATGAATGAGTGAGTGAATGAACTAGTGACTGAGGAGATTAGTGAATGAGTGGATAAGTGAGTGACTGATAGAATTAGTGAGTGAGTACATGAATAATGAAGTGCTTGAATGATGGAGGGAGTGAATGAGTGTACAAGTGATTGAGTGGCTAGGTAAGTGAACTAGGGAGTAAGTGGATGAATGATTGAATAAATGAGTGAATGAATTAATGTACAAGTGAGCAAATGAATGGACAGATGAATGAGGGAGTGAGCCAATGAATGAATCAATGGATTAATGTGTGTTAATCAATGGATTAATCAATGGATTAGTATGTGAGCGGATGAAGACACGGATGGTCAAGTGGTTGAATGAATAAGTGCATGAATGTATGAATGATTGAAAGGGACCTGGTGGTGACCAGGCTGAGCCAAGCAAGTCTGGATAGCCCACTGTCCAGAGAGAGAGGCCTGAAGTGGGGCTGAGTAGCCCATGGGCAGTCCAGGATCATGCACATACCACGCTCCAGTGCTCAGGAGCTCCAGACCTCATCAAGAGCAGGCCCATGGAAGGCAGCAGGGCGAGTGTCCCTAGAGCAGACACTAGGGGGGGTGAGATGTCAGGCTTTTGGACCCAGACATTTGCTAGGAGGCTGGAGCTATGTCTTGACAGGACAGAAGATAAACAGCTAGACCTCTTTGGATGCCTTGGAGGCATCCTGGGGCTCAGGCTAGGGTCCTCAGACCTGTGGTCGCTGGGCAGGTATAGAGTGAATGGAGTGGGGTGTGGTCAGACTATCTAACTATCCCTGGTGTGGCATGAGGGGAGGAACACAGTTTTCATGTCCAGGTCTTTGTCTCACCCAGCAAGGCAGCATGCTGGTGGCCAGCAGTGTGTACATGGGAATCCGGACTCATGTATGCAAGCCCAGTCTCCAGGAATTCAATGTCCATTGCTTCTATTTTATGCTGCCTCAGATATAAGAACCAGGCTCAGCTGGGTCTGGTCTGGGGCCCAGTGACCTGCAACCCTTCACGACCTGATGGGAAACCAGCTTTTGGGAGTTCAGTTGTGTTCCTCAAAGCCACCAGAAGTTGGTGCACACCTAGTTCTGCATCTTTGGGTTTTTGTTCTTGGGTGGACTGTCCCTTGAGGACAGCCCAAAGCAGAACTGAAGTCCAAGAGGGGACAGGAATTTCCCAGGGTCTCAGGGCTGCAGGGTCCGAGAGATAGTGTAAGGACAGCCCTTCAATTCTTTTCGAGCATTCCCACTGGACAGGCAAGCTTTGGATTCAGCTGGAGAACTACGGTCCTTCCACCTGTCTGTCTGCCCTGCTAGTCAAGGCTTGGGCTGGTCCCTAAGGCAACCTCCAGGTCCATTCTGCCTGAATGTAGTCTTCAAGCTTAGGGAATCAGGAGTCACAAGAGATATATCCAGTCTCCATCAGGTCCCTAGGTCACAAAGGGTTTTGTCTTAATGGCAGTCCTCTCAATATTTCCTGGCATTGGGTTTCAGGCAGACAAGTCCTGCTTGCATAATATTAGGGGTTCCAGACTTCCCCTAGGTGAATCCTACAGCTGCCCTGTTGCTTGGGCTATTTACTTCCAGTGGTATGAGCTGCCCCAAGGCTTGATTCCTACCTACAACCAGTGCTGAGAGGGGCACTCCCTGGCTGAGACCCTGTGACCTTTGGTGCAGGCAGGAAGTATATCCTGTGAACCCTGAGGCTGGTCTGTAGGTCTGCAGGCTCTGCAGGTCTGCTCTGCTGCCTGGCTCACCCCACTGACCTCTTAGTGGCTGCCAGTCCCTAATCGGCGTCATTGCCCCTGGAGAGGATCAGGTATCCCAGAGAGCCGCCTCTTCCTCTCAGAGTGGGGTAGTACGGTGGTGACTAATCCCCTAACTCTTGGAGCACCCATAGGCTGAGGTCCTTCCTCAACGTCACTTCTGCCTAGAACCATGGCAGGTGTGCTGGCAGGAAGCAACCAGATCGCATGCCCCTGGGTGGGAGTGGTTACCTTCCTTACCTGCACACCCTGCTCACCGCAGCCTCAGCCAAATTGTGCAATGCATTGTTTCTGGAAAGAGCTGAAGAGCGGGACAGGGGCCCACACACTCCTTGGTGGTAGTCTTCACCCTGACTACAAGGGTAACCCCTTGACCCCACACCCCAGACATTACATGGAATGGGGCAAGAAAACTTTTTACTGCTAAAATATCTGAATGAGGGGCCCCGTCGACCTGGGCTGGCCCCAGCTGCTCTGGAGGGCATGAGGTCTTGAGAAGGACTAACTTTAGGGGCTTTGTAGGAGGCACCACGTTGAGTTCCACCCTCCATGTTTTAAGAGCTTCCAAGTTGAGAACTGGTTAGGCAGAGGGCAGAGCAGGCTCCTAACTGACCCCTCACCCAGCACCTTGCTTTCACCCACAGTGGGAAGCCTGCTTAGTCTGAGGCCAGAGCCAAGGTGCGGTTCTTGTCCTGGGAAGGTGGGGTGGAAAGGGAACCCCCGTCTAGAGGTCTATGGGCAAGAGGGAGCAGTACAAAGCTGGGAGAGGAGGGTGGTCCACCGAGGGTCAGAGGTGAGGGGCCTCCTCAGGTCCCATTGCCTAACTCCAGTTGACCTGTGGCCTTCCAAAGTTTAAGATAATGATGGGTTGGTACTTGAGGCTGTGCTTATGTCCAGAAGTAGGGAGAGACCCCTCAGTGCTTCTACAGGTAAGCAAAAAGTGCTTCTGTCCTCAAGTCCCAAGGTAAGATGACCAGAAGTGGACTCTAGAGCAGACATGTGCAGACATGCTCAGCCACCGTAGTGGCGGCCATAGTTACCCTATCCCTACTTCAAAGAGGCTGTTCAGATCCTTAAGCCCACCCTATAGGCCATACTCTGGTCTGCCCCTGAGGCCCCATTGCTGTGTGCTGGATTTCTGGGGCCTGGTGGGAATGTCAGGTAGAGTATAGGCATGCAATTGTCCCCAAGACAGATCACAGTTGACACAGCCAAGTGTAAACCTATCTTCCTTCAAGGCAAACAGCTTGGGGTTCTGTGACACTCCAGGCCAGCTGCCAGCAAGCAGTGCCCAAGACCACTTTACCAGCAACAGGTCCCCAGGCCTGTGCCCAGCTCAGTCTACCTGACAGTATCCTTGTGTAGTGTCTCAGCCCTTTGCCCCATGTAAGAGTACAAAAGGTTCCAGCCTTAGAGGTGCAAACTCCAGAGACCCTAGTCTGAGCACGGGATGCTGAGGGGGACAGAGGTGTCTAAGAGCACCTGCTAGGACAGCCTCACTGCACTCACACCCTGGCTCCTTTCTAGTCCCTCCACCCAGAGGAGCCCTCACAGGGCCCAGAGAGCACTTCAGCTGTGCTTCAGAGCTGGGTAGCCCTCGAGAAGTCCACACCTCTGTCGTGTCCCAGGGAAGAGAGACACCTTATCTCACATACTGAAACACAGCCCAGGGGGTCAGATGTTTCTGTCATTTCTGGAATTGGATTTCTTCCTGCACCCCAACCAGTTCCACCAGGATAGGGGCAGCTTCCTCCCCACACAGTCTGGCTCAGCATGAAGCAAGGTCTGGGGTTTCCTCTGTGAGTAGATCAGTTCCGACTGGCCCACTGCCAGACAAGCTCCAAGTCTGACTGACGCTGTGCCCGTCTTTAGCAGGTAGTTCCTGAGCCTCAAGGTTCTGCAAAAGATAAGCACCCCTGAGACTCCCTTTCCTGCTGTGAGCCCTGGGGGAACTGGGAAGAAGGCCCTCAGTATAGAAATCATGTACTTAGAATGTGCCCTGGGCCCTTGTTCCTGGTACCCTGCTAAGGTACCTGCCGGGACCAGAGCCTGTGTTAGCTTAGGAAGCCCCTGGCAGCTCTTTGAGACCTGGGATATTAAACAGCTGTCCCGAGATTGTATCCACACCTCCAAACTATCTCTGCAGTGACGATTGGGCTGGTTTGCAAATTCTGCTTTTTAAGAGCTCAGTGCCATAGCTCACTTGTTTGCAAGTGGGGGTGTGTCCAGTCATACCTGTAGGTCCCAGGCTGATGTATGGATGTGGATGCTTAGGCTCACCTGGACAGTCTTGGCTCTGCAGGAAGGGACTTGGTCCACTCCTTAGGCAGTAACACATTTACCCCTCTTCTTAAGGAGGGACGTGGCAGTAGCTCTAAGCTGACCATCTCTGGACCTCAGCTGGCAGCCCCTCTCCAGAAATAGGAGTCTGAGCTGAATGGGCAAGAGACCCTGTGACTAAGTCATCCCTTTAGGTATCCACTGCATCCTTTGGGCTTTCTCATGATGATGCTGGGGACAACTCAGAACATACTGACCTCAGGCAGCTCTGACCCTGTGTCCCAGGAGCATGGACACACAGCTAATGGGCTCCTTCCTTGCTCCTTTCCAAATACTGTCCATGTCCCTCCTGTGGGGTTCACGTGA